ATAGGGCCGATCCTAACTCAACTCCATGTAAAATCCCATAAGGCGATTTTCTAGTGTCAATGTCATTTGAAGGTGACTAAATAGAGAGGTTAATAACCTAACGATAGCCATATAGGGCCGATCCTAACTCAACTCCATGTAAAATCCCATAAGGCGATTTTCTAGTGTCAATGTCATTTGAAGGTGACTAAATAGAGAGGTTAATAACCTAACGATAGCCATATAGGGCCGATCCTAACTCAACTCCATGTAAAATCCCATAAGGTGATTGATTTTCTAGTGTCGTCAAGGTCATATACCTCTCCCCCTGGCGGCGACTTTAAAACTAGAGCTCTCAAAGGTTAACGATCTTAATTGCGCCTTGTTGTAAACTAAACAAAGGTCAACGATTTACCTCGAGGGAGGGGATGCCTTACGAGGGCGTGGTTAACTTGCGGGAATATAAAGTGATCTGTTAGGGTTGTTAGGCTTAATTAATAGATAGCAAGATGACAAAAACTATTAGAGCAGTCGTGATAAAATCAAAGGGATCGCAAAAGAAGAGACTTGAGGAGTTATTAATAAATTTAAAGAAATTAAAGTGGGATATTGAACTGCTTCAATGCCAACGTAGAATGAAGAAGTTAAATTTAAAATGAGTGATGTGGTGGAAGAAATTTCGTCTATGGAGTTCTCGGGCTGGAAGACCTTCTGTATAGAATTTTTCATGGAGACTAAGAAGCTATAATTAAATAAGTTTACCAAATAATTACTCGCTAAACAAAAATTTGTTACAATTTTTGTAAACATGCATCCAATAAACTTTGTTTGAATGCACCTAATTTACTTATACTAGTCCAAATCCAAACCACCTACAAAGTGAATAGCAAAAAGATTAAGTAGTTTTATCATGTAGGAGTAAAAGAGTTCCGGTTAAAGTATTTAATGGGAAAGTTATTCATAATAGTTAATGGGTATCATACGTAAAATACATAAAAAAATGGCACATCTTATCTTCGCGAAGAACGTGTTCTCAATCTTCACTTCACCTTTATATTGAGAATATTAAGAGTACACTATTTTTATTATCGAGGTACGTTTCGAAACGTATCCCTAGTAGAAGTAGTATTTGAATATAAGTAATTTTTATAACTTAGGGGAACTTAATTGTTTCAAGAGTGGAGCGCACAATACAAAATGAAGTAGTTTTATCGTCTGGGAGTAAATGTTTTACGGTATTTAATGGGAAAGTTATTCATAATAGTTAATGGGTGGATAATTTTGGAGCCTTTTAGAATTTAGGTGAAGGAAAAAACTGTTTCTACATTCTATGGAATTAAGAAATTTCAATCGAGCGCATTAGTTGTGCATGTCTTTGACCTATTATCATATGTACTACGTAAAAATAGACGTTTTATCTCCGCGGAGAACTTATTCTCAATCTTCATTTCACCTTTATATTGAGAATATTAGAGTACCTACATTAAAGTTACATTTTTAAAACGTATCACTCCTACAAGTAGTATTTAAATATAAGTAATTTTAATGAACTTAATGGTACATTTATTCAAAAGAGTGGTACTTTAAGGTAGAGCACAAATGTTAACAATATTTTGTTTAAAACCTAACAAAAATTGCTCCGATACCTAATGTATATTTAGCGGGATTTACTGCGATGCTTTTCGATACAGCGGAAGCGATGATCCTACATTACCAGCGTCGGCTTTTCATGAGAAAATGTTACTACTGCATCTCGTTAATATCCGCGGAGTCTCCCTGAATTAGCAGCACCTATAGTAGGAATGATGGTTGGCGCGGGCGACCGCGGTTTTGCGTGCGCTATTTAAGTGTATGCATCGGGTACCGTATTAGAGAATGCATTAACTGCATCCATACAGACCCGCCGTGTCCCCCAGCTAGCCATTCTCCTATACTTAAGCAAGATCGTGGGAGTAAGCGTTATGCAAACTTCTTTTCTATGCGATCACTAATAAATCTACGTATTTATGCACTGCTAAAATCGAACTATTTACGCTCATACTTAAAACGCAAACGAATTATACTTAAATTGCTCGTTTTACCATTCTCGTTGGCAAACGAATTATATCATTATAGGTTGCTCGTTTTATTCCCTTTAAATAAAAAATTAACCGTCTGTTCAACTACATTTATTTCTCTAAAAGCTATACCTGCAAATTACATTATTTTTCTAAAAGCTAATTACCTATTTACACATTTATTTTAAAAAATTAACAAATTTTTCAATATATGCTACTTCTTCCTCCAGACGTCGTTCGTTGAGGCGTGCTGCCGCAACTTCCTCCTCCAACCTCCTGGTTTTCTCTTGCGCCTCGAGATAACGTTGTCTAAATATCGGCGCCTTCTGTTCCAACCAGGCCAGCGACGCCCTGCCTAATTCTCGAGGCGTAGAGGGCTCGAACCAGGAGGGAGCGACGTCTGAAGGTTGTGGCACTCCTGATGTTGAAGGCGGCTGGGAGATTGTTTCATATAGTTCCCTCAACACTTTCATATCCTTCTGTGCGTGTCTGTAATAAAGAGAATAGGAATATTAGAACATTCTTTTCGCTAAAATTTCAAAGCAACACTTACTGAGGATGCAGACCTGTGGTGGTGGTACTCGTTTGTTGTTTCTCTTCTTCTATCGGCGGTGGCGGGGGTGGTGGGATGATTATATGCTGCAGTATTTGCGCTGTTGCCTCTGGGATACTGAAACAAACACACAAATATTAATGTTAGGTTAATTTTGATTACATTTTTTGCAACTTACTGTAATTGATAACTGGTAGATGTTGAGGGTAATATTGGAGCAGGAGGCGCTGCTGCAGCACTTGCATGATGTTGATAATGACTGCAAATATAAATTAAAAGTATTAGACGTTTTTTCGGTGCACTTTTAAAATAACTTACAGCATGTTATTGACACTGCTTGTTTTTAGGCCGTGCTCCAACGATGCGTCACTGAGCTTTGGTGTGGGTATTACTCTAAAAAAAAAAGGGAAAAAATTAATTTCATGCTATTTTTTACATCATGAATTATTATTTACCTTTGGGGTGCATATACATGATGGATGTTACCATCCAAGTGGTCCAGCAACTCATCTAGAGTACTGTATGTACTATTGTTCCGTAGATGGGTAGTTGTAGTTCTATAAAAAAAAAATACGGTAATGTTATTATCATGTCTTGAACCTATTGGTAAGACAATTACACAAAAAAATCATATTTACCTCTCAGTTTGACCACCCTCGTCTTCGGTAACCAAATTGATGATGTCTTCCTGTTGTGCTGCAGTTTTGGATAAGTTGCTTTGCAGCATATCCTTTAGTGTGGGTAAATTGTCACTTGTTTTTTTTTGAACACTTTTTGTGGTGGAAAGTTTCACGCGTTTTGATGCCGGCATCGTAGCCATTCGTGAACTGTTTCATGTAAGGCATGGGGATGGGTATATACTCAGAAAATTTTGTTAACGTTAGCATAAACTCTCCCGGGACGTAGACTTTGCCCAGGCAGGTTGACTGTTAAAGGTCTAAACAAAAAACTGCAACTTACACCTGCCGATAAGAAAATTCTAAGTAACATTAGGATAAACTCTCACGCTATGTAAACTTTGCTCAGACAGGTTAAAAGTCAAAGAAACCCACACCTGCCGATAAGATTATTCCAAGTAATAGAAGAAAGTAGGTCATGCGCGTGCAACAACCTTTGCTTTGCACTTATAAAAGAGGATCTGTTTCTGTTCCGAGATTTACTTACGTATAGAGTATCTTTCGGATGGTGTCTCGGTTGTTACACCTAGGTGATCTAATCGCACAAGTGTTGGGTAACTGTGCTGCATTTCTAGGATTTACACAGATAAAAATTAAAACCCTTTGATCAGCATAGTAAGTATGGAATCTGTTTCGAGTATCAGCAGTGAGATCGTTAACCTAACTCGACATTCCGCAAAACTCTTAAAAAAGAAATCTGAAATTGTTAAACACATTTCAATCGCTAAAACCAACATCCGAATATTGCAAAGAGCTATTGTTAATCAAATTCATTTGAATAATCCGAATGAAAATTCTTCGAGACTCGAATAATTTGGCTCTCTTGAAAACCTATTTGGCCACGTTACAAGAGCGATTAAAGAATTTTTCCTCGAATAAAAGGGGTTGTGGGATCGATGTCAACAATAAAAATCGATCACGTAAACTAGCGTGGTACACATTAGACTCCTGCTTCAATGGTCGTTTAATTACTGGTGTTATTGCTAATTTTGATTATAAGGATCCCCTAATTTTTATAAATCATGCGTACGATTGTTTTTTACGCAAAATTAAGGTAGCTTTAACACGATCTATGTTAAAAGTAAACGTAATCTTAACTTGTAATTTTATTCATCCTCAAACTGGTATTATAGACTTGAAAACATTCCAGACCAAAAATGCGCCGATTGATGTCGGTACCAATCTTAAGGAATGGTACAGAGAAAACGTTTTCGATAAAATTCAAACAAAGTTAGAAACTTTTTCCGAAAAAAATTCAGGTTGGGCATTATCGGATATCGTAAATCTCAAAATCAATATTAATAGTTACGTACCCATTAGAGGTGGATTTTCAACATACGTTAAAGTTCCTCCTTTCATAGCCTAAAAGAGCAGTTATTAACGTAAAGAATAATGATCAGTTTTGTTTTCTGTGGTCAATAGTCGCCGCTTTGTACCCTGTTGATAAAAATGCTGATAGAGTAAATAATTATCCTCATTTTGATCAAGTATTAAAACGTGGATCGATTAAATTTCCTATTAAACTAACAGATATTAAAATATTTGAGGACTTAAATGACATTTCCATTAACTTATATTGCGTAGATAAAAGAAATATATTTCCTTTTATGTTAAGTAGCAAAGTTGATAATAGAAAAACTGTCAATTTATTGGTGTTGGTTCCTAGCAAAAGCGCGAAAGTTCACAATTCGAGTAACAGCTACTACCATTTTGCATGGATTAAAAATATGTCAGCATTGTTATCTGCACAGCTGTCCCGCCGAGGACATAAAAAATTCTTCTGTAATATTTGCTTGAACCATTTTTTATCTAGTGATTTAGTAAAAAAGCATACGCTTAAATGTCACAAAGTCAATAAGTGTTCCATTCGATTGCCTAATGACTCTGAAAAGATTCTAAAATTTACACATTATTCTAACATGGAGAAAGTACCATTTACTATTTACGCGGACCTCGAGTGTATCTTGGAGAAATGTGATAAAGCCAATCTTCCAGACACCAATACCATACTTTACCAAAAGCATACTCCGTTTAGTATTGCCTTTTACCTTAAGTGTTCGTATGATGAATCACTTTCAAAATTTTTTTCATACCGAGGTCAGGATTGTATTCAATGGTTTATTAAACGCTTGCGTGAGATTGCCGATTGGGCAAATGAAATTGTGAATACTATTGTTCCCATGGAAGTTCTTAATCCTCTTCAGATGCAAAACTATTTGAACGCTATAGTGTGTCACATTTGCGAGAAACCTTTTACGGAAGATCAAATTAAAGTACGCGATCACCATCATATGACGGGGAGGTACAGGGGGGCGGCTCACCAGGCATGTAATTTGAACTTTAACCACTCCCACGTTATACCAGTCGTTTTCCATAACTTAAGCGGATACGATGCCCATTTTTTTATTCGAGAACTCGCTACCGGCTTTCCTGGCGGAATTAAACTCTTACCTTTAAACAAAGAAAAATATATCTCTTTTACGAAGCATGTGCAGAACACTAGCATAGATTTTCGATTTATCGATTCCTTTAGATTTATGAGTAGTAGTATAGATACCCTATCTTCGTATTTAGATAATGAGCAGAAAACTATTACTAGAGCGCATTGTCGTAATGCAAATGAATTCCATTTGTTAACTCGAAAGGGAGTGTTTCCATATGATTACGTTGATTCGTGGGAGAAATTAAATGAGACGGCGTTACCATCTCGAGATGCATTTTTTAGTCAATTAAAAAATGAAGCTGTGAGCGAAGCGGACTATGAACATGCGAATAACATTTGGAGCACGTTCGAAATTAAAACCTTAGGTCAATATTCTGATCTCTATTTGATGACGGACGTTCTCCTTTTGGCAGATATCTTTGAAAATTTTAGGGATACTTGTTTGCGCACCTATCGCTTAGATCCGTTACATTATTACACCGCCCCGGGTTTGGCATTTGACGCAATGCTTAAAGTCACCGACGTTAAATTAGAGCTTTTAAGTGACATTGATCAAATGATGTTTATTGAAAGTGGTATAAGAGGAGGTGTAGCACAATGTTCAATGAGATACGCGAAGGCCAATAACCCGTACATGAAAGAGAAATATAATCCTAACCTCGAGACGGCTTATTTGATGTATTATGATATTAATAACCTTTATGGTGCCTCAATGTGTGAATTCTTGCCTTGTAGCGATTTTTCCTTTGTAGATGACATTCAAAATTTAGATATTCTAAACCATCCTGATGATTCAGACGTTGGTTATATTGTAGACTGTGATTTAGAGTATCCCTTGGAATGCCACAGATTACATTCTGATTTACCTTTGGCCCCAGAGCATCTAGTGCCAAATAACTCAAAATTAAAGAAACTAATGCTTACCTTGTACCCAAAGCACAACTACGTAGTTCATTATAGAAATTTAAAGATGTACGTACAACATGGATTAAAGTTGATAAAAATAAATAGAGTATTACGGTTTAAGCAATCACCGTGGTTGAAAAAGTATATTGAATTAAACACTCGCATGAGGCAACAAGCGAAAAATATGTTTGAAATAGAATTTTACAAATTAATGATTAATTGCGTCTATGGTAAACTTATGGAGAACGTGCGAAAATACAAAGATGTGAAACTATTAACTAAATGGGAGGGAAGGTATGGAGCCCGTGCGTATATAGCGAAGCCAAACTTTAGCAGTTGTACGATTTTTGATAAGGATATGGTTATAATAGAGATGGATAGGTTAGAGATATTTTTCAATAAACCAATATACGCGGGATTTGCCGTTTTAGATATATCGAAAACGTTTCTCTATGACTTTCATTATAACTACATTCTCAAAAAGTTTAAAGATAAAACAAAACTTCTATATACAGATACCGATAGCCTAATATACTATTTTACAGTTCCCAATATATACGAGAATATAAAAGATGATATACATCGATTTGATACCTCAAATTATGATATCAATAATGAATATGGGATTCCATTAGTCAATAAAAAAATCCCCGGTCTAATGAAAGATGAAAATCATGGGCACATTATGACCGAATTTGTAGGCCTTCGTGCTAAGATGTACGCTTATGAAGTAGAGGGAAAATTGACGAAAAAATCTAAAGGGTCTACATCGACTAGCATCAGAGAAATTACTCTAAATGATTACAAGAATGCTTTGTTTAACGTTCTAATTATAAAACGAAGTCAGCATCTTATTCGTTCGAAAAAACATACAGTATTTACGTTGAAGCAGGAGAAAGTAGTATTGAGTCCTCACGATGACAAACGTGTTATCTGTGCTAATAACATTGATACCCGTCCTTGGGGATTCAAATGTCATTGACAATGTCTCACAGCCCCTTTTTTACATTTCAGAATACATCCGCCACATCATGAACCATGAAAATTTGAAAATTCAGTTGGAGCATGAATTACATTACACTTCTGTTCCAGTTTATAAAAAATTTTTGAAACGAGCTCTTTTGGAAATTCCGTCCGTGCAAAATTATGCTTTAATTAATGAAATTTTACAGAACCTGGTCTTACCGGACGAATGTTTCAGTTGGTGTGCTACTTTTAGAAATATAAGTCCAGACAGTATTAGATTACTTGTAGATAGGAAGCTTGAACTAGATAAGTTAGTTGACTCTGTTATAAGTTCATCAAAAATTAGTGGCAATCAAATAGTAGATAGCTTACCATTAAATATCAAAATCTATATAACCAATTTACTTAATTCAAAGGCTGTTCATAGAAATATTATTTGTGTGATAAACGAAAGTATATGTGAATCTGCACAGTACGCTAATGTCAATGCTCTAGAAATGTTTATCGATATATGTATAGAGAAAAGTATCGAATGCAAATTTAACCCTTATGAAGATACTCGTCATAAACAAATTTACCGATGGATAATGGGAAATATACAAAAAGGAGAAGGTGATTCAAACGCAATTCTTGGCTGGACTTGTGGGCCAGATTCTTCAATCTGGCCATCCACCCAATTAATCGATTATAAGAAGACGTATGAGTTACTTTTAAAAATAATGAGTACAGATGATAGTGCTAGGAAAAAAAAACCTGTAAAAAAATATGTTGTATGGTAATTAAAAGACTAAATGTTTTTATTGACTTTTATTTACAACGAATAAGCTCACAACACAATGTTATTCTTATCAATCCAAGATCTTTCGTCTAATCCCCA